CATCTTCCTTCCATCCTTTCCCATCTTTCCACCCCCCCGTTTCGCTCGCTTTCTGCATCCGCGTCGCAGTCGCGGAATCGTCCGGATCAACTTTTATACGAAGTTTTGCCCCCAGGATCCGCGTGTAAATCAAAGGACGCAATTAATCGGAGCCTGATTGCAATACTTTCGCGGACTTTCAATATCCAATTTCTAACCGGCAAAGGGCCGCGGATGGCGAGCATCCCTCTTCCCTCCCCACCCTCCTCCTCCATTTTTTCAAACCAGGAGGCCACATCGCGTTATCTCCTTGCCGGACACGACGAACCGGTTTCCGGCCTCCTTTGTGCCCTCCCCTCCCCTCCCTACCTACAAATCTATCAACTTTCCATCGAGTCAATTTCCAGGCGGGGGATTGAAAAATTGTTTTCGTTTTTGTGGCTCGTAGAATCGTTTGAGGATTTGCTTAACGCTCTCTCTCTCTCTCTCTCTTTTTTTCGTTATCGTTACGGATGTCGCCTCGTCCGATCGAGTGTTTTACTCGGCGCGATTTAATTTTGGGGATATGCGTTCCTGCAAATATGAAGTTTCATATTAGTACGAATGAATGGAGTTGCACGAAGAGGAATTAATTATATCGAAGAGGTTTGGAGGAGATTTTTGCGTTGTTTTTTCTGAATCATTTAATAGAAGATTCTTTTTTTTTTTTGAGAAAAATGTGAAAAATCATTTAAACAACTTTTTCAATTCCGATGATACGAAGAATGAGTTTTTTATACGCAAATTTATATCACGAAAATTTTCATGCGACGACACGTAACATCCCCTTCCTTTTCTCCCCTAAAATAAAAAGAACGATAACGCAGATCACTAAAAAATTGAAAAAAAAAAGGGACAAGATGGAACATCGAGCAAAAAGATAATTCGAGTCGATAGTAGGAGGAAGGATACATACATTTTCCTATATAGAAAAGGAAAAAGAAAAAGGGGAAAAGAAAAAAAACAGCAGAGATTTCGAGCGGGCGATCCATGGCCAAGGAACCGAGCCTAATGGGGAATGGGGGCTTAATTACAGGTTCGAGCGGATATTAAGGGTATGCACGGCAGCTCGGTATAAACGTTGAAGCTGTCGTGTGTGTCTATCGGCCGAAATTGACTACGATACGAGCAAACACGTAGCCACGACGTAGCGAGAGATACGATGGAAGAGAAGGGAAGGGAAGGGAAGGGAAGAAAATCGAGGGAAATAAGGGAATGAGAGATGGGAAGAGAGGGGAGGTAACGCGGATAGATCGACAGATAAGTACTCGTGGAAAAAGCTGAGTGGCTTCTAACGAGTGACGAAGCGAGAACCGAGGTACGTGGGGGAAAAAAGGGAGATAAAAAATGGTTATTTCCATCCCTCGAGGGGTGACGATCAACCGTTTCCGCGCGCGCGCTGTGCAGAAACATTAAATGGTCATAATTCAAGCTCGTTGACAGCTCTCAGAATATACCAATTAAGGGAGTTGCACGGTGGCGGATATTAAGATCCAGCCTAGATACACGCGACACCGATGGTATCGCCTTTCGCCACCTCAATGGGCCGCGCCATGTGTGGTTTTACACACGTGCCACTTGTCACGTGGCGCGCGCGACGGTGTTCGTGCACACACACGTGATACAAGGGCGCGGACACGGGCAGAGGAGGCAAACATTATTGCGATATTGGACACATAGTGGCGCGGACCACCGACGGGGTAAGTAAACCTCTTTAGCACAAAGCAAATGGGGACTTTGATTTAACAGGTTTGGTTAGAACCTCTCTGAATGCGGCTTTCGACCTCCCTTGCCGCCAATTTTGGAGCCGTTCGATGGACGCGGTGATTAGAACGCGGTGTTTCGGTGTTAGAATCTCTCTTCTTTGAGGAAATGAATAGAATAAAAAGAAGGGATGGAAAGAAACGTATATTCGATTTTAATTATTTATCATTCTTCTTTTTCGTCTAATTGTTTTCATCTATCTCTCTCTTTCTCTCTCTTTTTTTTCCTCTCTCGTTTTGTCGTCACAAAATCTTTCCTCGTAAATAATATTCAAACGAATTTTTAATATTCCCTTCAACAGAGAAGAACGTAAAAGATCCTCCAACTTTAACCTCCTGGCGATAATTCATCGACTCATTAACCAAACACGATAATCACCGCCTACAACAAACAATCAATAATGATCCCTCGAATCTTTCCAACCTCATTTTAGTGATCTTTCCTTCCCTTAATCTTTTTCCACCGGTTATCTCCGACGTTTTGCAAATCTCGAACGACAACAATGACGCCAAACTCATTCACCCTCCCCAGTAATCAATATTTTCGCGAACCACCCCTCCTCCTTCCCTAATCGATCCAATATCCACAAGGCAATAACGGAGACATCAACGTGTCGAAATTCGAGGGTTAATCACTTCTGGCTCCGTCGAATCTGTAATACAAATCAGCTCATCAGCATCGTTTAAGATATCCCGCAGGAGGGCGCCCCCACCCTCCGCCCTCCTCGATCGGCCTTTATGAATGCCAATGGCAAAATCCGATCGGGCCGGTCACGCGAAAACCCTCTTCGCCCATTACCTTAACGCGGGGTAGACAGAGGTTTGGGAGGCAAGGCACGGCATCCGTTTTATTCCTGGACGCAAGAAGATGGAAGCGTAATCGTCCCTCGTGCGATCGTACGTACATATACGTTCATTGGCCGTTGCTGGCGGACTTCGTTTGAAATTCTATGCATTCGGGAAAGGGGATGAATATTCACGCGGTGCTCGAAGACGGTGCTCGCTTGTTCCCTGCTTGTAAAAGTACTAATTAATGGTAAATACCACGGCGATGCGTGTGGAAATTAGATTGTTATTTTCATAATCGTCCTTCCTTTTTTTTTCTCTCTCTCTTCTTCTTCTTCTTCTTCCTTCGGACGGAATTTTGAATATTTTCGCCTTAATTTGTTCTAATTCGCGGCGACGAGTCGACACACAAGCTTTTCACGTTTTTCGTTTTCTTAGATTTTGAATTGTAAATTTTTCTCAAGATGAATTAAAGGGATTATTGTAAAATATTTTATTCTGTATTGAAATTGATATATTTGTAATATATTTGAAATTCTGCCTCTTAAAGAGACTTAAATTATTAAGGTAATAATAAATCTTCGTTAGTTAGATCTGTCTCATATTTACGATCTATAAATTTCGTTATATTGTGTTATACGTATCTCCATTACGTTCATGTTATATTAACGTTAAGTTAGACGCTCGTTAATATGTCCCTTCCCCCCCTCCCTTTTTTTCTTCTTTCTTTCTTTTTTTCTCTATTTTATTTGCCGTAAATAGCGAAGATACGGTGCTGTAACGTCGTTGCGGAAATTGTGTATGAAACGACGATGCCGTTATAAAAGTTTTATCGGATAATATTATTTACTGTCTTATCCAGATTTTTATCCTGGGACCCCGAGTATGGTATCGATTATGTAGTTTCGTCGTATAATATTCTCGGATTAAAGTTTATGAAGAAATTATACACGTCAACGGACGATATTCAATGGGCGATAAATTAATACGAATTGTTTTTTTTTATTATTTATATTAATTGCAATTATACAAAAGGTACTTTTTTTTTGCAGTGTTGATACGATTTTTCAAAGATTCTAGTAATTCTATCATGGATGTAGTCACAAAAAGACTGGCTCAAAGTTAAACGTTACTTTAATTATTTATTAAAATGTTCGAATTTATTCATGACTATTATGATATTTTTAACTTTATTTCTAATTCAACTATTAAAATTTTGCTTATCTGAATGTTTCAAAGCGTTCGTTATTGGACAAGAAAATTTATTAAAATCAAACGAATAAAATAAGATCAATAAAGCAGATAAAATATTCATGATCAATATTCAAATAAATAAAATATTTCAATAATGTTTTATTTAAGCATATTTTATAAGTCACGATCAAAATTTATCATAGAATGCATAAGACATTACACGATAGTGATAGCACGAGAAAAGCAAAAAGAGAGAGAGAGAAAGACAATAAGGAAAATAGATGTTGGTGAAGTTAGAGGATAAGAATACACGGATAAAAATTACAAGTCCAAGTCATATATTTGCCGTGAAGATGCTCTGCCGCTGACTTCTGCTAAGGTTGCCAACACCTTTCATATATAATAGCCATATAAGTCTGTCACTTCTGTGTGAAATACTTATGAATTGTCTGTATGTATGTATGTGTGTAGAAAACACGATTCGTGCCACTGTCACTTACAGACTAGGTTTATTAAATAACTAATACTGTCCTTAATATTTAAATATAATTGTGCAGTTGCAAATTGGAAAATATAAAATATAATTTTTAATATTATTTGAGAAGAATATTGATTATTCATAATTAATATCGACCTCGTTCAGATTGGTCCGGTTACTTGATTCAAGTTGCTTGAATTCGAATCACTTCAATTCGGCTAACTTGATTAATCTGAACGAGGCTTATGGTCTTGAACAAGGCTTGAGCTCCTTATCCCCTCCTATATGTGTCAAATTGCTGTTTCGCCTCTCG